TTAACCACCTTCTAAGTGGTCCAAAACCCACCTGAGCCCCTCGGAACCCCATCCAAATACACCAACCAATCCCAAAACATAACACGGACCTACTCGAGGCCTTAAATCATAAAACAATAACATCAAAATTACGAATCGCACCTCTATTCAAGACTAAGGAACTAATGAACTTTCAACTTCCAAAAACTCATGCCGAACCATATCAAATCAATTCGCAATGACCTCAAATTTTGCATACAAGTACCAAATAATACAACTACCTATTTCAACTGCCGGAATAGTAATCCGAACCTGATATCAATAAAGTCAACTCCGGGTCAAACCTTCAACTTTTCAACTTTCGCCAAATATAACCAAATCAATCTAGGAACCTCCAAATTCAAATTTGGACATACGCCTAAGTCCAAAATAACCATATGAACCTACTAGAACTATCAAAATACTATTCCAAGATCGTCTACATAAAAGTCAAACTCCGGTAAACTCTTACAGTTTAAGCCTCCAACTAAGGAACTAGGTGTCCCAATTCAATCCAAAATTCTCCCAAAATCAAACCAACCATCTCCGCAAGTCACATAATAAAAATTATACGTATCTAAAGCATCAAATAGGGGAAATGGGGCTAAAATACTCAAAATAACTGACTGAATCGTTACAATAGTGGATTTGGAAGCAAGGTAAGTCTCTTTCCTAATCTTGAAGAGGGAATTATCCTCGTAGGTATTTTAATTATTGTGTGCTATGTGTTATAGGTGCTATATACGTACGAGGTGACAAGAGTCCGTGCGTAACTAGATTTATATTTATGTCCGAGTAGATTTAGACCTACACCATGCCTTAACTATACTACTTGAATTAAACTTGTTGTTTGATTTCTTGAATTTATAACTGAGATTGAGACTAGAATTTATGTATTGACCGAGCCTCTTTACTTTGAATTTTTGTGGGATATGTGATGATCGGTAACAATTATGTTTTTCTCTTGCATTCCGATCCTCGTGTTATATTTATGTGATTGGTAGTTTCGTGTCTTCTCGACTCACACGTATCTTCGCGGGTGAAAAAGATTCTATATTCTTATGGAATCGGGTCGTTTGTCTCGGTAGTGTTGTGAAATATTCTTATGGGATCAGGTCGTTCAACTCGACAGTATTATAAAATATCATTATGAAATCGGCCCATTCACCTCGGCGGTGCTATGAAATAATATTATGGGATCGGGTTGTTCGTATCGGCGGTATTGTGTAATATTATTCTTATGGGATCATTTTGTTTGCCTTAGCAGACTCGTGCATGATATTCAATAGGGAGTCTGCGTACATATGTGTTTCCTGACTTGAGATTTGACATCGTACTTGATATTGGTTGTCCTTATTTTCTTGGTGGTAGTTTGTGGTATTTGATGATTTCGTAATTATTCTTACTTGAGAATTGTATTATTTACATCTATTTGTTTCATTGCTACTTGTTGTGTTTCGTACCTGTCTACTTTATGTACATTATTGCTGGATTACTAGTAAGTGTCGATGTCGACGCCTCGTCACTACTTCTTCGAGGTTAGACTCGATACTTACTGGGTACGCGTTGATTTACGGGCTCATACTATACTTTTGCACTAATTGTGCAGGTAATGAGACAGGTACTTCACGTTGTCACTCGGGCGCGTAGCCGCATTTGCTGGAAACTTAGTGGTGAGCTGTTTTTCATGCTTTGACCCACATTACCCGGAGTCTCCTTCCCCCTATGTCTATTTTATTCTATCTATTTTTATTCCAGACAGTAGTTATAGTGGTTTGTATATTCTACTAGATGCTCATAAACTTGTGACGCGGCATTTTGGGGATTTTTTGAAGATATTTATGGTTGTACCTAATACTTATTTCATTACGCGTTATGTTTTGTTCATACTTTGTGACTTAGTAGCAATGAGTGTATCCTACCATGGTTTCTAAACTAAATTTCGCTTTATTAATAAAATTCTTTATTTTAAAAGTGTTATGAACGGATGATTGTGTTGGTGGTTTACCGTTGGCTTGCCTAACGGCAGCGGCGCCATCACGGCCTATGGTGGGAATTGGGTCGTCACATTGGCACTGGTGTGATTTTCTTATACTGTACCTGCTGTGATCGGTGACGTCTTAGTAAGAATTTTATTCTTCCTTTGCACAGCCTCAAAAGCTTTTTCCTGCATTCTAGCTTGTTCAATGGCATGACTCAAGGTGGTTAGTTTGAACATTTTGACAACATACTTAATTTCTTCTTTAAGGGCACCCATAAAACTAGAGAGAAAATGAGACTCATTCAAGGCTGGATTTCTAAGTATCATTTGAGCCTTCAGATCCTCGAACTTTGCCAAATATTCATCGACAGTGCATGTTTGTACTAGCTTATTGAATTCCTCCACTATATCTTCCATCAACACCACATCAAATCGTTTACATAATTCTTCTTTAAATTCAGTCCAAGTTACCACTCCATTACTTAAGGTATATAAATTGTACCAAATTTCTGTTATCCCATTCAGGTAAAGAGCGTCTGCTTCAGCCTTCTGATTTTTAGCAGTTTTATATAGATTAAAATACCTTTCACACTTTCTAGTCCATACCTTGGGTTCGTGGCCTTCGAAGCTTTGTAGTTCCCATTTAAGAGGTGGAATTGGTAATCCTTATCTGAGAAGCCTCACATCTAGTGCTAGTATCGGCAGCAACCCATCTCCAACTAGATTAGCATTCGCAGGTCCTCAAATTTGCCTTATTTCTGGTGCCGTCTAGCAATCTAAAATGAGCTCCAAAGTTCTCTGACTGCTGCCCACTTGTGTCTGACTCATTTCCCTTTAACTATTGCTCAGCTCTTCTATCACTTCATCGTGCTTGTCTATCCTCTCGTCCATGGTTTTCATCCTCGTCTCTTCCACCATAGCTTCTCACACAGGTCGCAGATTCGAGGCTCTGATACCAAATGTCACGTTCTAAAACAAAATTAAAGAGAATAACAGATTTTGGGATGATTTTCTAAAAACATTTATAAACGAATTGTAAATTCAAATTACAATCTAAATGAAACCAAAGTAACAAAAATGAAAAATAATTTCCAGCTGAGACTCCATTGGTATGCTAAGAATCTGCAGAGGAACAAAAGGTAGAAAGGATCATCAGAAGAAGAAGAAGAAGAGGAGGAGGAGGAGGAGGAGGAGGAAGAAGAAGAAGAAGAAGAAGAANTCCTCAAATTTGCCTTGTTTCTGGTGCCGTCAAGCGATCTAAAATGAGCTCCAAAGTTCCTTGAATGCTGCCCCCTTGTGTCTGACTCATTTCCCTTTGACTATTGCTCAGCTCTTCTAGCACTTCATCGTGCTTGTCTATCCTCTCGTCCATGGTTTTCATCATCGTCTCTTCCACCATAGCTTCTCACACAGGTCGCAGATTCGAGGCTCTGATACCAAATGTCACGTTCTAAAATAAAATTAAAGAGAATAACATATTTTGGGATGATTTTCTAGATTTTTTTATAAACGAATTGTAAATTCAAATTACAATCTAAATGAAACCAAAGTAACAAAAATGAAAAATAATTTCCAGCTGAGACTCTATTGGTATACTAAGAATCTGCAGAGGAACAAAAGGTAGAAAGGATCATCATCATCATCATCATCATCATCATCAGAAGAAGAAGAAGAAGAAGAAGAAGAAGAAGAAGAAGAGGAAGAAAAAGAGGAAGAAGAGGAAGAAGAGGAGGAAAAAGATGAGGAAGATGAGGAAGAAGAGGAAGAAAAAGAGGAAGAAGAGGAAGAAGAGGAGGAAAAAGATGAGGAAGATGAGGAAGAAGAGGAAGAAGATGAGGAAGAAGAAGAGGAGGAGGAGATGATGTGACAGAGTAAGAGAAGAATATACCAGAATTTTCGTGAATGACCCACCCTTCTGTCTCAGTTGGATGGTTTTGTAACATAATTGAAAGTGCCAGCTGGCGGAATCTGAACCCTTTATGCTTATTTATTCTAGTTTAATCTCACCCATCTATTTAATGATGTCCCTGTTATCCCTTCTCGGGTTTGAGTCTCAGTAACTACAATTTAAGTTTCAGCTCATGATAGGAAGGTTTCAGCTTTATGAACCAGCAAAGCAACAACAAAAATCAACATTTATCATTTTTCTCCGGACAAACTTTTTGTTGCTCCGGCAGCATCTTTAATGCTATTTTGACAAAATAGGTGTAGAGATGGAACAGAAAAGAAAAGAAGTAAAGCATTTGGGTTTTGCCGGAAAAAGTTTCCGCTAAAAGACTGCCAAATAAATGCTTTTCTGGTAAATTATTTTCACATAAATTTATTTATGAAAAATTAAAATTTAAGATGTAGGAAAAGAAATCAAGTGGATCTTAATTTGAGATTTGACCATGGATGAATATCACTATAGAGAGGAAATCTGTTGATTGTGTATATATGTGTTTCATGAAGGTCAAATCAATTTAAAGAGATAAAAGATGGTGAGACGTTGGAGATTAAGAACATGAAGCATAAGAGTTCTCACATGGTGTGGAATGAAAAAGGTTAAGTGGGTCACTAATGTTGACATTCAAGTTCAATAATTTAAATATTTTGATGGAAAAATTCTATTAGAGAGAATGAAAGTGAGGCAAATAGAGTTTGGTGAGATAGATATTAGAATATGGAATGGACTTTTGGTGTTTCATTGTGGTATATGGGTGTTGGTGGGTGATATGGAAGAGGGAGAAAGGTGATGGAAGATAAAGTGTAAAGAATGCAGAAGAAAAAAAAAGGAAAAAAGGAGAGAGAGTAAGAAAATTAGGTGTCATCTACTTTGAGCAAGAATAAGGGGTAAAAGGACGTCCGTAAAGTAAACTTCAACCGTGTAATTTTGGGACAAATTTGTATTTTCCCTTTTATTTAAAATATTTTATAACAGGTATCCCATCGATTATTCTATTGTATACCTTCTACTTTCCACCAACACAAAATGCTGGATAACTATGTGGTTGGGCAAATGGGAAGAAATCAACCGAATAATATTATCTGACCTGGAGAACTTCAAAAAGTAACTTTTTTTTTTTTAAATGTGGGAGACTCAAACAACTGAAGTTCACCTTGAAACATTGTCTTGAAGTTCATCTCTGGGCATTTAGCAGCTGAAGAAAGCAAATAAACAAAAAATTTACTCTGCCTTTACATATTTACACCACCGTGGCTTCTTCTTTAGTGTTCTTCGTCTCTCCAAACTTGCCGAAGCAGCTGATATCTAACAATATTCCTGTCACCCTTTCCCTTGGAGACCAAGTTCAACTTTGCTAGATTAGGAGAACCCCGGAATCTATCAGCTACTATTGAAGTCAATGGCGAATCCAATTCATCAAGCTCATCATCGCTGGTGTATGATTTCTTGAGTACTGATGAACCGCTTCGTTGTAAAGATTGGTTTCCTGTCTCCCCAAGAAAGGTTATAATGGACCTGACCGAAGGGGGTAAATATGATGTAGGAGACGCAGTGCATGGGACAGTCGAGACAGGCTCTTCAGGAGCATCTACCGCATCCTCCTAGATTAAGAAAAGAACATTCATGAGAAAACTGGTCTCTCAGTAAACTGGAAGCTGGAAAAGTTTCAATCAAAAGCATTAAATGAAATTGCAATGAGATAAGCAAAAACTCCAAAACTTCAAGCAAACACAACTAACATGCACTTGAACGGACTACCAACCTGAGAATCCAGTGCCCTGAGGACATCGGGTGGAACTGGGATCGGACAGAACTCATCTGGAACAAAACCATTGAGAACCCTCCTGATCAAAGTTGGACCAAGTATAGGACAAACCTTCAAACAGCACAGTAAGAACAAACTTAGAATGTAGCTTGAAACGCATCAATCAATGTTAATGCTGACGGACTCACCTCTTTTCTTGTTTGTGGATCAGCAAGCATTTCAAAGGGAAGCATCATTAGATCACTTAGAGCATTGAGGAGACGGAAAGGCTTGGCAGGACCTGGTGCCTTTTCATGAACAAGATCCTCACTGTCACCTGAGAAATCATTGTCTTCAATTCCAAAGAGATTAGATAGCCATCTAGACCAATCCCCAATCTGCCAACAACAAGTAATAAACCATGCTTATACACTATTCAAAAGCCAGTTCTTATTAATAGTTCTGGCATTGTCTAAGAAAAGGTGCAAAATCTCAAGCTTCCTTAACTATTTAATTTATTTATTTTTGATCAATTCCACAATTATTTAATTTATCACATGGAAAACGGCAACTAATCCTTATTTTAACCCGTTTTACATATGAAATTGATGCATATTTATGTTGCCTTACTGATTTGCTTTGCCGTCTCAGTGTAGGCAAGAAAATCTCTTAACATCTTTGGAGAACCTATTTGCTGGACTCTGTCAATAAGCATCTTGTTTTAAAAATATCTAGCTGAAGTATTGAGTCTATGTTAGGTTTCAAAATTCCACTAATTCAAGTGAAAGGAAGATTTTTCCCCCAACTCTGAAGAACGCCTCTATTGGGTAAGAAGAATAACATTGAGGATAATATCAGCATCTCAGATGGAATTACTCATTGAATGTTAACCCATCTTACATATGAAAGTGAGGCCCATTTATGTTGCCTTACTGAGGCTTGCATCTATGTAAAAGCAGCCAATCCGTTAACATCTTTGGGCAAAACTATTTGCAAATCAATAAGACCTCTCTCATTGAGCCTTTTGCTTAAGACATCTATCACGAGTAAGAGTCTCTGATAGATTTCCAATACAGGTAGATTTGTTTTTCTTTTTGGGGGGCCAACTTTGAGGAGATCTCATATTGGGTAAGAAGAATGACATATCAGTAATGCACTACTGAAATAAGCTGAAAACCATTGAAGCTTGACAACTCACAGCATTTTTAAGTTGTGCACCAGACCCAAAGCTTGATTTCCCCGCAGGGACTGGGAGAACCTTAGAATCACAAATGGGATCTGACACTGGATCTGTTGGCATTTCTTCAGCTGATTCACGAAGGATTGCATTGAACATGGCCACATCCAATCTACTCACCAACTGTTCCATTACCTATTACAACCCATAAACAAAGAGCTCAACAGTAAGAGCCAAGCAGCAGAATTGAGAAAGCAGTTATGAAAAGCTTGTTCAATGTTGCACGCGTCCAAACAAAGTAGTCCTAGTAACAAAAGTATAGCTTCTCATTTAACCGCAAAAACAGAAATTCCCTATTAATAATAATAACACCAAAATGCACATGTTCATACACAGGAAAAATGCTATTTCCATTAGAGACAATGCAGTGGAATGACTTAAGCCAGTTTCTAGTACATGTTCAAATAAGCCCTTCAAAGGAAGTGCACAATTAATCTGTCGAATGGGGGTGAGTGTGCAATCAACTTACCAATCTAGCCAGCAACGGCAAGCAGCCACACTCATGTCCTCCTGCCCTGACAGGGCAAAGCCTTTCACAGGCATCTTTGAAAGCCTTCTTCCAGAGCTCAATGGAGAAATTACCTTGCTCTTGATCTCCCAAACTACACCTACGCCCATAGGTTTTTTTAACACTTGTGCTCATTGATCTTCCACCAGAGTTTGCAGCTGTGTTTTGCATATGCGGAGTCAAAGTCTACAGGTCATAAAAACAAAATAAGTCACAGCAGCAATGTAGAAAAAGAAACATTATTCATTGAATCAAGAAACAGAAAGAGAGCAGCAGAAGCAAATTTTAGGATCAACCTGCCACCACACAGACTCAACAATGCGGGAGAAAATCCAAGCTTCGACTTGTTCCAAAGCAAGCATAAATGTTTCGGTATCCTCCCAGTCACCAAGTTCATCTGTTAGACTATTGTTGAGGTCTTTATTGGAAGAAAACTCATTCCTTTTTTTCAACGATCTTCCGTTTAAACTAGATTTGCCCCTATTGCTCTCTGCATATGATCTATCACCTTCTTTCCTTCCTCCAGCAGCTTGGCTAACAATTGCTCTCAACATGACTGAATTTGACAACCAAAAAGTCAACCTGTAAATCAAGAAACAGACAGTTGACATTTCTTCTGTGGTACAGAAGGGCAAGCACTTTCATCCCTCTATGCCTATTGCAGCTCATTAATGAAACTATCTTTATTCCATAGAAAAGCTAATTAATAACTGATAATGCAGTAGGATGACGAGACACCTGAATTTTGACAATCATGATTTCTGGGGAGACCCACCCATCATTATCGTTTCCATTTTTATTCCCGAGACAAAAGAAATTTGATATCTTTGACTAGTAACTGTATTAAGACACCTGAATTTTGATGTCAAGGCTTCTAGAGCTTTTACTTTTATTATTATTTCTTATAAAGTAAGATAATCAGGGCTTCTAGAATTATTCTTTCTTGAAAATATCTAGCACCCAACCCTCTCCCAAAACGAAATAAAAAATCAGGCAGTCGTCAGTCAGGTCCAGTGAGCAAATATGGTGATTAGCCTCATCAAAAGCTTCTCATTTAAGAAAGAAAAACATATCAGCACCCTTATCCAACATATTTATTCAGATATCAAAACAGTTTCTCCATTTCATTGACTTTTGTTACTGCCAGATTGTTTTAAGGCTTTACTTTGATGCTGAACTACTATTGGTGATAAATAATAGCGTTCAAGCCAATACAAAAGAATTAAGAATGCACTTCTCAAAGACAAAAAGGAGACTTGTACCAAGTTCTTTTACGTATTTGAAGATCACATACCTTGGAACATCATTTCCACAAGCTTTTGAAACCAAAACTAAACCTGAAACAGCAGCTCTTGCAGCACCAGCCTGTTTAGCTCGGGATTTTGCTGTACAAGCATGAGCATAAAATCGAGAAAGGCGCCGCGCTGGAGCATGGACCTTGTGTGCAGAACTTCCATGCTCAGCCACTACTGAATAAAGGCTAACCTCAACAGCTGCGGCTTCCCTTAATTCTTCCTCAAGTGTCTCAATTCTTGCCTTCCATTCATTTCTCCGGTCAGGAGATCCATTCATTGGTTTGTTACCTTTACCATAAGAACGAGCATCTTCCGAAACATGCAGTTTTGTTGCCTTTTCTGGATTCTGGCTGCTACCAGGAAGCCCGCTTCTGTTAGGTAAGTCAGTCAACTGATGAGACTTCACATGCTTCGATTTACCATTGGTGATGCTAGATCCCTGCAATCCAAGCACTTTATTCGAATTAAGAGCATCACCCTTCATAGTGCTGCGTTTCCTGCTGATTTCTGATTTGATTTCTGAAAAATGAGGAATCTCCTTCAAGATCTCATCCTCCTCAATCTCTAGATACTCCATTTCTTTTCCATTCACCACACCAACATGTGAATCTTTGAGTGCATTACTTTCAACATGGACCTTCGGTTTATCTTGGAAGTCTTGACGGCGATCAGAATTGGAACTGGCTGGCCTAGAGCTACCCTCAATAGATGCATCGAGATGGTCGATGGTGGATGGAAATCTATGGCCGCGACCATTTTCTGCTGAGACTTTGACATCATCTTTAGGAAGGCCTTTCTTGTCAGCAATATCTTCCTGAACATCATGCATCAGAATTTGCTGCTCGAGGACTGTCTCAGAGCTACTTGCCTTCCCATATTTACCTCCAAAATAATGGAATGAGGAAGAAGATCCTGTTAATTGAGAAGCAGGCTTCTTCTGTATTGACGTCATACTTCTTTCAGAAAATTTAGACAAAGAAGTGGCATTGTTCACTGAGTGCTCTCTGTTTAAAGATAAGCCGCCTGACAACTCTGGAGCTACATTACTAGCTGGTTTTCTAGAACTTCTTTTGGTAGAATCCATGAGCATTGCTGCAGAGTCCAGTCCAAAAAGTAGATCAGGTTCTGGATCGTCCCTCAGCAAGTTTTCAATTATGGATTCATGTGCAATCTACAGGTAGTCATGGTATAACGTTACTAAACAAACTGCCCTGACATACAGACATATGTAGTAGAACAAACCATACAACCTACAATACATCAGATTGAAACATAGAATGCTTCTACAGGTTTTCCATATAGTCTATTATCAAAGGGGAGTAGACTAGTAGGCAAGCAACTGCCGTACCGACTTCTACGTATAGCAAAACACTTATTAGTCAATATAGAAGGTGAATCCAAGACCCTACTAAATCAGTCATGGGGCAGTCAAGGAAAAAGAACAAGCTATTATCACCTAACACAAGTAAAGTAGAAACATGTTTCAAGCTCGAATTGCAAAGAATATTTTCAACTCCGTGGATATAGCCAAAATTCAAGAAATGACAATTTACAGTGTTATCTCTAGAGGCAGTACGCCGAAAAGGATGAGTCTAACGGCCTGTTAGGCTTGGATTATGAAAATTGTTCCTGAAGTAGGCATAATTATTGATTGTCATTTTTAATGACTGAATGAAACTGAGTAAATCAAACAAACCAATTAAGTTAGACGACATATTTTTTTTCTTTATAAGGAATTAGAAGACATAATCCAAACCAAAATGGCTAAATGGCCATTTTTAGTTTCTTGACGATGAAGTAATCATAAAAGTTTTGCAGAGGAACAGGAATGACAAAGAGAATATAAGTATTACAACTACCTTCCCTTGTTGAGATGGTGAAGCCTCAGAAACATTTTGTGATGAATGTGGTGACTCATCATCAGTAAAAGATGCAATCTCACTCTCATCATCATTTTTCTCATTCACCGAATCTGCAACAGATCCTTGCCCATCCTGTTCTATGGATAGACGTTGCTTCCCTATGCTAACATTAGGGGATGAATTTGAGCTACTCCTGTTATCAGCAGGATGTATGTTAACAAATAGAGCTGGTTGCTCAGAGTTCTTAGAACTCTTCTTGCAGTTGAGTGGAGTGTAAATGGATACAATCTCCTCGAGCAGTCCAAAATCCGCAAGATTTATTACAGACGTCCCCAAAAGTTGGCCTTTGGTTGTCTTATCCTTACGAAGCTCATACAGATAAAAGTCCAAGAAATTCTTCTGGAATTTGTCATTGGCCTTCTTTTCTCGACATAAAGTTAATGGAAGTGTGAAAAACTCCCTGAATTCAATGTTGGTATCCCCGACACTAGACACGATAGACCCAGAGTTCTGACCATCATTTTCCCATAGAAGTAACACAGACTGAACAGACTTCAGGGACTGTGATGGAGGCCAAGGCTTAATCTCGTCTACCTGAATAACGTACTCAACTTGCACAGAAGCACCCTTTTTGTGCCTTGACCTCAGCCCAAGAACCATTGCTTCAATTAAAATACAAGGCTGTTTGGTAGACAATGTTGAATTAGCTAGAATCAATTCAAAGGCAAGTAAAACCAAAACTTACTTTAAAGTCAAGAAATATAACACAATCCATGTTAGAAAATGACAACCTTGTACAATGTAAATGGAAGGTACTATATGACAGGGAACAAAAAGAGTGCAACCATGTATGTAATAAGACACATACTCTCAAATCAACAGCTTACCTAAAATCCATATATTAGATTGGTGAAGAAAATGGCAGCCAAAATTGATAACCTATTTTAAAAAATTATACAATTTCTCCATAAAAGGAATAAAAAAGGTTCTTAAGAGCAAAACCAAACATATTAAAATGCAGTTTGGGTATTTCCTAATCACTCGTTCAATTAATCTTTCAATCAACAAAAGTCAAAAAGAAAGAGACCCTTTTGATATCTTATAATCAAAAGCACAAACTCACCACTTACAACAATGGAACTAACAAGAGAGTACAATTTGATTAGAAACATCTAAAGAACCACAATTGCATGATCCAATTAATGAGTTCTTTTCCAACTATAGAAGTAAAGAGCAACATTCTGGTATTTTTACCTACACCGCTTTGAGGACAATAAACACAACTCAAATGTACTAAAAACTTGATCCTTTTTTGCTTTTTAGATCTTCTTAGTCACTTTTTGCTTGTGGGTATGTTTGTAGAGAAAGTAAAGGTGAAAACTTCAATGGGAAAAGGAGAAAGATCTGTAATAATAATATTGAAGAAGATGCTAGGCGTGTATATATTAGTATATATTATTTGGAAGTTTACAAGTCTACTTCACTCACTTTCAAAAGAGTTTTTTATATTCTTCTCGCATGCTTTTTTTTATCTTTTAAAAAGATTCCTTAAATTATTTAGCTCTCTGGATTTATTGCAGGGTTACAGAGTGATCTGTTTCATTTTGTTTCTTTTTTCTTTTGTTTTTTTTTAAAAGTAAAATACATCAGTCCGGAAAATGGATACAGACAAACCAAAGACTTTTTTCTTTTTTGCATAGTTCTTACTTTAAACTTACAAAATTTATTGTGAATAAAATAAGCATGCAAGCAGATAAATTTACACTTACACTTAGGTGAAAATCATACTCGGTATCAATTTATGACATTGTGCTTATCGATGATCTGCTTTTGAAGTTAAATTAGACTAAACTATTTTTTAATGAATGTTAAATATTCTAAAATTATATGAAAAGTAATAATATCGCCATAAATTATATTTTTTTCATTATCAAATAAGAAAATAATACACCTAAAATGTTGGTCGAAAATTTGTAAAAAATAATCTTAAGGAGCAAAAAGCAATAAAACATCAAGCACTTTGGGACAAAGACTGCTATATATATATACGGTTATATATTTAAATTATCTAATTGTGTGATATCAAAAGCCATTATCATAAAGTTTGACTTGTAATCCTCTTATAAATGCACCAAAGAAAAAGGGAACAGTGTCATTGATGAAATATAAGGCAGATCTAACCATGTTACTTGGCAATTTAAAGAACAAAAAATGGTTTGAGTAAAAGAAAAAAAGAAACCCGAACAACATACAATCAAACCAGCAACTTCGATTGAGAAAATTGAAGTTGTAGGAGGTGGAAAGTTGGGTTTCAACTAAAATCGTTGAATATTCATATGAAGTAACATGCACATTACCTCTGTATAACAATAGTGTGCATGTTTTGTACACTTCTACTAATTTCTCATATATTTGTTGCTTTTATTATCATACCTATCAAGTAACTTTGCCTATTAATGATTTTGCTTCTGCTCTATTGAACCGTAATCTAACAATTTGTGTCTATATTAAATTTGAACCATTATATTTGAAACTTCTCTGAGCCGAGAGTTTCCCGGAAACAACATCTATGCCTTTTAAAGAGGCCTACGTACACTCTACCTTATCCAAATCCCACTTGTCGAACTGCACTGGATCTGTTGTTGTTGTATATTTGAAATTAATTTCAACTTAATTAATTATTGGGCCAAAAAGTCCCTGTGTGCAAAGGAAAAGGTACATTCTTGTAGAAGGAGATTTTTTAGTTCCTATATAATATTTCAAACTTATATATTCGGTGTCTAAAGTTTGCTATTTATCAAAATTAATTTGATTTTTTCTTCAAATTGTATACATTCTCTGTTAAAAGGCTCTCAATCCATTATTAGTGTTTTTAAATCAAGTGATTTAGTTACCCAATTTTTCTTTATTTTCTCTCCATCTTTTTCTGTCGCCTCTTTCACTCTTCTGATGTCATCTCTCCGTCTTCTTCTACCATCATCTCTCCTCTCTCCCTCTTTTTCTGTTGAAATAGCTTTGTTTTCTCCATATTCGTGGCAGCAATGGTGAGACGGAGGTAATTGTTGGTCTTGAATTAGCAACTATCTTCGTAAACAACAATTTTGATAACAACTGGCGAATCTATATATATTTGAGGGACATAGTCCGGTGATGTGACACTCTCCTAAGCCACGGTTTCAACTTATCTTTTTTCTCAACTTTTCTTTTTTCTCAGCTTTTTACCTTTTCTCAATTATTTTGCCTCTTTCCTCTTTGTTTCAGTTTTTTTGGCCTTTTGGTTAAACACTTAAAAGTCACGCCCCTTCATTAACCATTTTTATTAAACTTCCCTCTATTAATCATTATCTTAATTAAGAAGAAGCAAAACGTTTCATAAGAGCCCAACCGTCACATAGTTCAAAAGTCTTTTGCCTGAATAAGTAAGAAAAAAGTCAAACTCGAGTTTGGTCTTTCAATATTGGACAAACAACTTTTCTGCCGTTAAAGCTATTTTTCCTCAACCGTGAAAGATGGATTCAATGTATCACAGGTTTTTATTGAAATATTTTTCCTTCTACCACTTTCTATATATCGTAAAAGAGGTCAATTTTCTCAATCATCATAAAAATATTATATGTTGTCTATGCTGCTTCTATTGTGTTGCTAACTCGACATATCTTCTGATCATTAATAATGAATTTTTATATTGAAAAGTAAATCCTTAAACTTAACTTTCAATCGTGTGTACAATTTGCTAAATAGTTAAAAAAGCCAAAAGGACTTGGAAAATGAACAATGTAATATTATTGTTTTTGATAAATTCAAAGATTGGTAGATTTTTTTTTTTGGTTTAACAATAAGAATAAATATGTGATTTTACTGAACTTCAACTGTTTGAAACTTGATAAATCAGTAAATTATTATGGCTATATATACTAACAGTTCTACTTCCCTTAACTTTTTGCACAGAGAAAAAAAATTGCAACTCAAATATATAGTTTCAACTAACAGGGAAAACCTTCGTAAATTAAAGTTACGTGTTGCAAATTTCAAAATGCCTTTGTTTGCATGATGCATTATGTGTTGTCGAGTGATACACATACTCAAATTTAAGTGCATGTATTTTGAACCAAGTAGTGTATACAAGATACTCCTCTAATGTATTTCTACTTGTAGGCTCGTCCTGATGGGATAGATGAGCCATTTGCATGGCATAAACAAATAATTTTGAGAAAGCTATGTATGTAAGAGATGTTATTTGGTCAAATTATATTGTAACTTTTATTTCCTTTTTTCCTATTTTTGTAAGATTTAATACAATTTTGAGTTCGTACATATAATATTATTTTCAGAGTGGAGTACATTACATATATATATATATATATATGATGAGAATTAGGCTTTGTTTTTCTTGGTGTTGTTGCTCATTTTCTATTGTTGTTCCCCATGCGTTCTATTAAAATATTGGACAAACATTGCTATATCCTCTCACAAAAGCTCTGCCAAATTAAAGCATCATTTCTAGGAGCGGGATGGAGTTTGAGATTACTGAACACGAAAAGTTGTCCTTCAGCCCCTTTCTCATGAACTATACGTATGGTATGACTTCTATTTTTTTATAGATCTTTTATCTCTTTTGTTATTAAAAAGTGACATAACTTTATTTTAGGTATTTTATTTTTANGGCAAGTATACAGGTTTCTTTGTTGCATGCTAAGAACAATTAAAATAAATAATCTCCGTCGATGGCTGATAGTGTAATGCTTTCTGCGAAATTGAGTTTGAGTTAATGAACTAGCCATATAAGCTGTTTATTCATATGTTGATATTTAGAACTTTGTGTAACTGTTGCTGATTTGTATTTGATGTTGAAATGCAAAAATGTTAAGAGAGGCGTTAACAGAGTTATTGGGCTACTGTCTTTAAAAATATTTAAGCCCAAAAGCTTGCCTAGAAGAGATTTGTGTGGGGCTCAATTTCTTTCATTAATTTAGGTCATTGTTTATAGCATAGCGAATCTGGCTTTCAAGTGAACTCCAATGCAACAAAGGTCCAAAAATTAGAATCAATTAATACTTGTACACTTACCCACAAGTGATTTCCATAATTTGTGACCCCCACAACAAATTTCATATTAGCCTAGGACAATAATTTATGAACACGCGCTAGTTGCTTTAGGCCCGATTAATAAATTATTATGACTATGGGTACGGTTCCCTTGGCATGGTAACGATACGTAAATCCCATTCGGGTGTGCATTTCATGTGACCCGACCATAACTTCTAACAATAATAAAAATAAACATGTCGTCAATCGCGGGTGCATTTTATGTGGTGCGGTTTGCGACGTGTGCCAAAACGACAAGTGTACGTCATCGTGACTTGTTCCAGAGATAATTCCATAAATAATTAAAAGCGATTTAGAAGATAAAAATGCACACTAGGTTTTAAAACATGTATTAAATCAGATAATTAAGCCAATTATTAATAGTTGAGCGACCGTGCTAAAACCACGGAACTCGGGAGTGCTTCACACCTTCTCCCGGGTTAACAGAATTCCTTACCCGATCTTTTGTGTTCGCATACCATAAATAGAGTCAAATTTTCTCGATTTATACAAATAAACCGGTGACTTGGGACACCATAACTTATTCCAAGTGGCGACTCTGATTTTAATAAATAATCCCATTTCAATTAATGTCACTTTAATTGGAAAAACTCCCTTATCCCCTATCCCACTGCGGAAAAAGGAGGTGTGACAGCTCTAGCGACTCTGCTGGGGATCGAACCCAGAATCTCTGGTTCAGGGTTCAGAATTCGAGCTTAGAATAACTGTTATACTTGGTTTTTATCTATTATCTGATTTTTACGTGTTTGAGCCTAATGTGCTAAATGCCGCTTTTTACCGCTTTGATATTGTTTGAACTGTATATAAACTGCTACGAAACCCTCCTTCTCTCTGAGTCTTCTAAATCTTCTGAGGAGCGTGCGCTTCGCGTGGCTTCTTTTCTGTTAGAGTCATATCCTAATTTTAAAACGAGGTTCGGACAAGTTGCAAAGCCGGTGAAGCTTCTGTATTCTCGGTACGCTGCCCCCCTCGGCTCGAGTTGTCCGCTCGGGTAAGCCAGGTCTAGAACAATACACCCAGGATTTAAAACTTAGAATAACACAACCTCATGCCGGATCCCTAGTAGGCACGCTTGCTTGCATCACGTGCATTTGACTTAGGGGACTCAACATAGGGGTTGGGTCCGTTTAGGATAGGTGTACCCGAAAATCAAAAGACCATCCTAATGCATTCTTTACGTGCTACTTGTGCATTAATTTCCTTGGCTTGTATGTTGACCGGGTTCTAGAGTAAGGAAAGAAAATTAAGAAAAAAAGAAAAAGAAAAACCAAGAGTGAGGTAGGATAGAAAAATGCCCGGTTTTGATAATCCCAATATT